AAATGTCCTCCGTAACTAGAGTGATCTGGGATCATAGTATAACATAAAATACTGCCATTTTGAATTTTTAAAAAAATTATGGGGGGTGCTTCCTTTCCTTCTCAAAAAAGTATCCTCCACTTACCCAAATATATTGCCTTTTTATCTCTTAAAAAAAAATTCGGTGGAGGGGGTTTAAAACTCCTTCCTCCCTAAAAAAGTAAAACAAAGTATCAATCCATCTACCCAAACATATTACCATTTTGTCTTTTTAAAAAAATTAGTTGACATGATTAGAGGGGTTAACACTCACTTAAAAAAAAAAAAAAATTATTTACCCTGACATGGGTAGTACCCCTGCTTTGTTCAAAAGCGGCGCTGGAAATTTGGTATCGCCCATAGCTTCTCAAGATATATATAGTATAATATTGCTCAACATTGCAATTATATTGACACTCACTAATATTGAAGGAGCTTGAATAAAAAAAAAAAATTTTGATATCAACTAGTTTGAATGCCAAATGTAGTCCTTACATGGTCATTATATTGACAAAATTCGATATTGACTCAATAATATTGACCGTTTAACAGAGCCTTTAAGGTATCCATTACATAATTGTTTGCTGTATTTTCAAGATTTTTTTTTTTTTAAATTGTTCAGAAAGTTGAGTTTAATAATTTAGTTTAGCTTTTTAGACATTTCAAGTGAGCATCTGGAATGTTCTGGTAGATGTAGAGATTTTGAGATTGAAAAATTATAAAACAGTGGCATATTTCCTGTTAGACAACTCTGATTCGTTGTATTGTTGGTTTGATCTTTCATTATCTTGTCACAGATAAAGTCTTTCGTTTATTCCACAATTTTGGTATTAATTCATTTGGAAACTATTTTTTAAGTTTTTGAAATGTGTTGAATTTCCTTCATGTACAGTATGACCTGTTATTTGTATTGCTATATTTTCATAACCTCAAATAATTAAGAACTTTGGTGAATTTTCCCTTTGTGTAATTATATGTGATAAATATTTTTTTTTTTTGTGATTTACATGCACTTACTGAGTTTTTGCATCAATAAATGAAGTTGAAATTAACAAAAACGTAATTGAAACCTAACGATCAAAAATGCAATAAATGACCGATATTTTTATTTATTACCGATATTATTTGGACAATAAACTTCAAGAGGTGAGGTGAAAGTAGATTTTTTACCTATTACAGAATTGGAATTAAATTTAATGGAAAATTGGTTCATGTGGAAGAGGAATGTACAATGTTCTGAATTTCCATTCCTTTATTTTTTTCATTTTGAAATTTCTTTTTATGTCTTGAAAGCAATTGTACTTGAATACTGTGAACATCCTTAATGGTTCATTTTACTAGATGCCATGGGAAACAGAATCGATGACCTCGAGAAGAACATCTCTGACCTGATGACTCAAGCTGGTGTAGAGGGTACAGAGAAGTAAGAAAGGCCTATAGACTTAATCAGGTTATATATATTTACCTCGGACAACTGTTAAATTTCAACTTCAATGTTTTTGCTTATTATGTTTATTGATAATCAAATAATATTGGAACAGTAGTGTTATAAATATGCTGAATTGTGATTACATTTCTGTGTTGTGCTTTTTTTAATTATAATTTCTTTTTCATAAAACACATTTACGTTTTTATATTCCGCATAATTTTTATTATACCTTTCCCTAATATAAATAACCTAATGTAAATCGAAATCTTATTGGAGTTGAAGACCAAATCAGTGGTGGATAGATAATGTAGCCAATTATGTAAGAGAGTACTTGAACATACAAAATTGGATGGAAATTGTACAGAATGAAGGAATCATTCACTGATAATGTTTTGAGCGGAGTAATAAAGAACTGCTTAAAGAAACTATTCAATCAATATCTAATCATAATATGAAGCCAAGAGGGTTAAGATGGGCGAGTTATGTTGCTCGAAGCAATCCATCAGAAAGCCTTTAAACAACAATGAATTCTTCAATAGTAAGCAAGAGTTTACGTGGAAGGCCAAACACCAGATGACGAGATCGAATCAACAAAGATGCAATAGAGCTGCATCCAGATAACTGGAAAGAAATTGTCCAAGATAGAATGAGATGCAGAAGGGTGGCTAAGGCAGCAAAAGATCTACGAGCTCTGTAATTTCAACAGAAAAAAATATTAAAACTATTTTCATCAATAATTAAGATTAAATAATATAATTTCACTGCCGTTATTATGAACTCCTCGATGTTAAATCCATTGGATCCAAGTTGTTTTCTTTAACTCTCAGTTATAATTGATAGGGTGTATCTATATTTCTACCGCAGTTAGTCAACCTCCGGTTGTCAATTAATTGAGTTCAAACTGTATTTGACAATTTTTTTTTATGATTTTCTGTATGGTACTCAAGACAATGAAATTCGTTTAGATGTTTTTTTTTTATTATCTGTGTGTAAATGTGTTTAAATTATAGCATTGAAGTCCCTGTTGACATTGACACAAGCTTTGAAACAGTAATAAAGATAATTAATCATTTAAAAAATAGGTTTAAAATAAATACTAAATATGTAGCGAAAACAATTGCATCGGAATTAGTGATTATATGACAAAACAGAAAAAAAACAACTTATTAACCACGGCAACGTTATACGTGAATCAATTGCACTATACATATAGCAAAAATGAGGCACGATGTGTCTACCACCTTATTTCGAAACCTGACCACGATTGTAATCGTGTAATCAAAATCACTGAAGTCGTAATTGAGTAATCATAATTACTGTAATTGTAATCGTTTATTATGAGTATGCCCATCTATGGAGTGCAAGGACAAAATATGTTTTATTTTTGTTTCTAAAATATATTAATATAAAATGATCTGATATTAGTGGTGTTAAATTAAAGTAATATAATAGAAAAAAGGTGCTAGTTCACGAGTTCCGCACGAATTACGCGTCGTTCAGAATCACTTCAATCACACTTGGTCATGGAATCCCGAAAACAAACGATGTTGCCCTCTTTTATGACGTCAGCTATTGCACCCAAGACACAACCCTTTTTCATGCATTTTTGAAAAAACTCTTAATCTCATCATGGAAATTCCTCATTAATAATTTATTAACGATGTAGATGTGTAATATAATACAATATTTATCACACATGTTATTTGTCAAAGGTTTTTCTTATCGGTACCCTACATTTTCCTCAAATCCAATGATTGAGCCATCATTTTGAAGATTTGCTTCTACTTCAGATGGAAAAAACAGTCACATCCTCCCTTAATTTCCGGGCAAAAAGTTATGAATGAAAAGAAACTTTATTTGCAAATAACTCAAAAAGTATACATTTGATGGTTGATCACATTCCTCACTATTTAAAATTACTAAATTCTCTGAAAAAAAAATTGTTGATTTTTTTTTCTCACTCATTTTCAGTTTATATTCTTTAGGAGAGGTCTATTATTACATATTTATATTTGGCATATAGCTATAGTATGAGTACAACGTGAAAATAATATGTAATATAAGGAGAAAAGTGGATCCCATTATTTTTTTTAGAAAAAACAAAGTTGAGGTTTGTATTTCACGCCTTGAAAAAATCTATATAAGATAAATATTTTTTATAGGAATCGAAAAATAAAATATTTTGCTACAAAATTTCACCTATGTTTCAGCATTTGATTCTTTTTTTTTTTTTTTTTTTTCTATCTATTAAAATCTCCGGTGCCGGGATGCGATCTCATATTTTTAATCTTCCATAACTTTGGTTAAGTGGTTGCTGAGCAACTCATGGTGCTATGCACATGCGTTAGCCCATTCAGCCATTCCGTCTCCTCTTGGTAGGTGTATTCTTTATCAAATTCAATTATGTTAACATAATTTTGAAGATTTCTTCTTCAGATGGGACAAATAATCACATCCCCCAAATTTCAGGAAAATAAGTTACGAAGGAAAAGAAACTTTATTTGCAAATAACTCAAGAAATATACATTTTGTGATACATTTACATTTTTAGCAAAGACATACCTTATTGTACTTTGTAAACATATTGGTTTAAAAAATGGATAAGTTTTTAATTAATTTTCTTTTTCTTGGTCAATCTGAGTTACAAAAAAATGATTCCTTAATCTTATGATACATTGTACTAACTTTTTCATTTGTTCATTTATCATCATAATATACAAATTATTCACACGGACCATATATTAAATAATAGTTGAGCTCTATAGTTTTAATTGCCTTGAATTTGAAAAATAGATAAATGCGTGTTTCATATTCATGATTAGTACATAGATAGCTATGTCCATCTGATTAACTGAAGAAAATACGAATTTTTTATGGAAAACAAAAGAACCACCAATCAAAATTCTTCGGATACTTCTTGATCAGCAATCTTAAGAAAAAAAAAAAAGAGCTCCTGTTCTTTAACAGAGAAATTCAAAGATTTACAAGCCCATAGAAATACACTGGCCAATTAGCGAAGACTGAGCTGTGACTATCCCATCCCATCATAGGTAGAAAAATAAATTCCTGGTATTCTACTGTATTTATACCATTTCAAAAACATTTCCTCACATCAGATTCTCACATAAATTTAATTTTATTTTTTAGGTAGGATTTATCACAAAAATTGACAATTTTCTTTGTGATCGGTAACAATCTTTTATTTTCAACTAGATTTAAATACTTTAAATAAATACTTAAATTAGATACTTTAAGATTTAAGTTTCTTAAAAATGACATTTACTTCTTAACAACTTAATTTCCTTTATTGTATTATTTTAATATTTTACAAAATATTAATGATTTTTATTTTTAAAAAATTTACTATTTAATTTACCACAAATCTTAAAGCAAATGAATGCCTTCATGGGTATTGTAGTTACTCTTGGTGTATAAATCAATCAAAAATTCACAATCATCATTGATTGATTATAAAATTAGATAAATGAAATTAGTAACTATTGAATGAAATTATAATTTACATATTTAAAGAGGTCATTTGTGTTTTTTTTTTAAATTATCAACATTAAATGATATTCAATAAATGTTTTGCTTCCATAGTTATACATTTTGAGTAATTATGAACACCCCTTTTTATTGCATTTTATTTTAATAGCTGATATAACTTTTAAATATCACTTAATTACTTTGTGGAACACAATTAGGTAACTGTAATGTGACATGTTATTTGTAAAAAAAATTAAAATATTTAATATTATTTTATTTACATTGCTCATATCAACAAGGTAATTTACATCATATCTACAGTATGTTAAAACACTGGAATGTATATTAGGGCAATGTTGTTAGATTAACTTTACAAGAAATGTACAAAAGCAATTATTTGTACTTTGAAATAATAGCACCTCCAAACTGTTTACAATATCATGATTTGCTAATCAAATGTAATCCTTAACAAGTGGAAATAGGAAAAATTAAAACTTATTCCAACATTGGTAGATTTGTGTAGATCTAGGTCAAATAACATAATTATTGTTATTTGATTTGACACAGTTTCATCTGAATCCTCTTTTTATTCCTACTTTTTTTTTTAATGTACACATTATTTAGCTTTAATCTTTATATAAATATATAATACATAGAATATATTGTTATTTACAAAATGTGTTGTTTTCATTTTCATTAACTAATGAGCCTCAACAACCACATCCTCATACAATAGATAGTAGTATGATTTTTATTGAGATTGGTCTGACTTTGGCATTTAGCATATAGTATTGACAAAGTAAAAAGTTTATATTTTCTTCTTTGGCTTGGGTGTGGGAATATTAATACTGACTTGATCTAGAGTATCTTTACTTAAAAGAGCTAATTTATCTTCTTTGTGAGGTTTTTTTGACGACTTCTTTTTCTTATTTCGGTTAGTTACTCCATCTTCATCATCCATCATTTTAAGAATTTGAGTATGATCTGATGATTCTAGTGGTGCTACAGATATATCCCGAACAGCTCTGAATTTACCACAGTTGTTTAAATGTTCATTTTCCAATCGGAAAAAATTCCATACAAATCTCCTATACAAACAAAAAAAAAATTAAATAAACCGATGGGTATAAAAGGTTTGAATTATTGAAGTAATGAGAATTAAATGAACACAAACAATAGAACAAAAATGAAATAAAAAATTATTTAACCAAAATACATTTACAGTTAAATAAATGTTTACAAACTTTTATAAAAGTCACAATTAAAAGTAATTCATCAAGAATGGATTTGAGAGCCAATGATATTTCCATCACAACTACTTAATCGGGTAATCACAGTTTATTTAGTTATGCATAGAAATGATTGCTCGTCCATCTTAATTTCGAGTTTGGTGATTAGATTCATTGCAACATAAATTTCATCTTGAAAAACTTAATTATAACTCCAATAGCCATAAATTATGTAACTAATTTATATGTTTAAAAGATCCATATTAATTTCTAAATGATTTAAAGAGTTGGGGTCTTTTTGATTCAGCATCAGGAGAAAATTCCTCCTTAATAGGGAATTATTGCAATAATAAATTAAAATAATATACAATAGAATTCAGTACTATGCAGGATGGTACTACTTTAAAAGTGTTGCTCCACTTTGATGTGTGGGCACGAAATCGCATAATCACCATATAAATGGAATTATGAGAATGGGGAAGAATTGATACCTTGTTCGCAGGTCTAACCTCCCTTTATATAACATGCTACTTATGCTCGCTCAAAAGGATTAATAAACCCCAATGGGTACTTTTCGGTTGAGGTAGAGTTCTTAACAGAGGGTTCAGTCACCTTTGCCTGCTTACCGACACACCCAGGCATTCTCAGAATTCCATTTATAATGTTATCATGAGATCTTGTGCCCACCCATTAAACACTTGTTAAGTTATAAGATTAATAATCAGAAATTGGGTTTTATTTCAACAAAATATTTTTCAATCATACACTTATCATTACACAAAACAAAAAGTTTGAAAATTGGGACAGAATCGGGCTTATCTGATCCTGCATACAGTCAGAACTTAGCATCTTATGAATACTAATTATTTAAGCCAATAGTTTGACAAGTCTATTACCAAAAACTATCTTTAAAGAAAAACTTCTCTGGATGAGGTTCAAAATAGAGTTGCATTATGAAGGAATGACAGAAAGCCTAGAGATGGCTACAAATCATAGAAAACAATGGAAAACCTATTTGACAACCAATAGAGTTTAAAATAATAATAAATAAATAAATCTCTTATTTATTCTTACTTATCAAATATTGTTATGAACCAATTTATTCAATAAGTAATGCAAATATCAATTTACTAATGGTGGAAAACTTTAAAATGCCACCTTGAAAAGTAGTAGATTTTTACTGTGGATTTGAAACATAAGATTTCATTTTAAAATTCAGTGAGTCTGTGCTCAATATTATTACCTGAAAACTTCTAATGGCGCAGTCATAGAAGTCATGAGTTCAGCACCAACATATTTATTTTGAGTGAGAATAAATGATGGAACCCACAAAAATCTCAAAACTAGATCTTCAATGATGGCAAAGTAATAAAATCCCTGAAACAAAATAAAACCATTAATTAAATTATTTGAACTTTATTCTTAAACTATTAAGAAATTTATTAGGCTAAAGAGGACTAAATTTTGTCAGATATTTTGAGATCTGTATAGTAACAAAGACAAAAGTGAAAAATATAATTAAACATAATATAATTAAAGAAAAAAATTCAATATTATTAAATCAACTATATTAAATCACATATATTTGGAATAACAAGAATATTGAATAAAAAAATAAGAGAAAGATCTCAATGGCAGAAAAAATGAAATAAAACTGGTAAATATCCACTTTTTCATCCTCTTTTTAGGCCTTCTTCAAGAAACTAACTACCTATATGACATGTTGTTTAAGTGATTCTTGAAGTACTATTAAATGTAATTACACGAACAATAGTACTTTAAGAGATAGTTTTTAATATTTTTTTCTATAAAATATGGTTATATTTTACCATTTTGGGGGGAGGAGAGGAGGCTTCAGACCGAAAGCCCTCCCCCCTCTCTCCCCCTCCCTATAGATCCAACTGTGCTGGTAATGTAGTTTATGAAAATAATATCAAATTTAAGATTGTTCCAATTCTAATATCAAGTGAACAAGGAAACTTATAGTAGAAAGATAAGTTGCTCTATTCTTAAAGAAAGCAATAATTGCATCATATTAATAAAAAATAAATACCTAAATTAAAAATTTTTTACCTTACTAGAATAAACAATTTCTTCTCTGAGAAATTTATTTTCTCCTGAAGCTGAATCAAAAAGACCCCAATCCATCTTGATATCCCATGTATAGGCATAGATCGAACTTACGACATTAGCTCCAAACCATAAATATAGGTAAGGATTTTCGTAATCATCAAGATAATCATCTGAAATCAATATATAGATTATTTTTTTTTTAAAGTCTGTTAGATAAGTACTATAAGTAGCTGAATGTTTTAAAATGGATTTTCATTGGGTTGTCCAGAAAATAATACAGGATTTTGGTATAAAAGAAAAAAGAAAGATTTACAACTGTTTTATTTAATCAAAATAGTCTCCACTACTGTCAATATATTTCTGTCCGTGTGTTGAAAACTTTTCCATTCCCTCGAAATAGAATTTTCCATCTTTAGAATTCATAAACTCCAAAAACACATTTTCTAATTACCTTCGTCCATTAAATTTTTGTCACGTAAGCAATGGTCCAGGTGTCTAGAAAAATGATAATCCGTAGATGAGAGGTATGGAGAGTAGGACGGAAGTAAGTTTCATATCCAAGCTCCAACAGTTTTTGTAACGTTATACATGATACATGTGGCTGGGCGTTACCATGCAACAAAATGGGCCCCTTCCGATTGACCAAAGATGGCTTCAATATTGGCAATTCCATTAATTTGGTTACAATACGATTCGGCATTGATTATTTCTCCAGGATTTAAGAAGCTGTAGTGAATCAAACCAAATGAAGCGCATCAAACAGTAACCATCTCCTTTTTGTGATAAGTTGGGGGCTTTGGAAAATGTTTAGCTGCTCCTTCATTGTTGAGCCACTGTCCAGAACATCTCATGTTATCCTAAAGTATCCACTTTTCATCACAAGTAACAATTCTGGACAGAATGATGATGTCCAGAACGATTCTGGAATCGACCTACTTTGTCTTCAAGGCTTCAAGTCCTCCAGAAATGTTTTGAACCACTGTTGAACAGTTCACTCATTAATGCTGCTCTTGCCACAGACTTTATTGATGTTTCTGGCCGTCTGGGCCCGATTCATATTTTTTTAAATTCTGCTGATTTTAAATTCATAAAACAAAATTATACGAAAATCACATGTTGACATCTTAGTAAAGACTGAATTATTTCTAAGCAGCGAAATGGTACAGAGGTAAACAAGCATTATGAAGTCTAAGAGGATTAATAAGTGTTGACATTCATACAAATAAATAATCCAGTAAATGTAAACAGTTTGTTGTATTGAGGGATATTTTAAAGAAAACTCAAAATCCTATTATTTTCCAGACAACCCAATATTAAATAAAATTGATGATGATAAAATTTTAAAAACTGCCATTTAGGTCAATATAGCTTCTTCAACATTTCTGTTGGGTACAAATTTATTTTTTAAGCTGTTTGTTTCGACATTTTTCAAAACATTATACTTATATATATATATATATATATATATATATATATATGAAATTTAATGAAAATTATGCTGAATCATTTGTACACTGTTTCCCAACTTTTCTACAAGTTTAGGAAAAATCAGGTGAGTTACTTTTTAAATATAACTATGTCAAGGAAAATATTTTTGGACATGCATAAAAGGAACTTAATTCTAATTATTTCTCAACAAGTTGGCACTTTAATCAAGTCATATTCGGTAGTAAAATAATAGCGAGTACTATTCCTCCTTCCCCATAAAGTAATTATATTTTTTGTTTATTATACAATATTCGATCAAGGTATTATGTTTCATACTATTGAATAAATGTTTTATGGATGAATGATTAGGAAAAACATGGTATGAAGAATTATGACACCTGCTTAATATTATATTTTATTTATTCGTAATCCCATATCATTGGACTTTAAAATTACATGGATTTTTTATTCTTTTTATTATTATTATTTTTTTTTTTTTTTTTTTTGTTAGATCTATGATAGTGTTTTTGATATTTTCAAAATTTCAAATTCATTGAAGTAACAACTTATAGTGAAATAATGTTATAAAATCTAAGACATGCAGGTTCAAAATTTATTTTTCATCATGTAGTTTGATATGAATCTCATAAAACATGAACAAATTTCAATTCTGAAGAAAAGAAATTTCCCTTCTTGCATGAGTATAATGCTTCTGTATCTTCAGTAGTAAGAAAGAAAAATTATTTGTTATATTAATACTATGAAAATTTCATAATTCAAATAAAGTAAAAAAGCTCTATCAATCACTCTAATAACCATGAAAAATATGCTAATAAGGTCAAGTAATCTACAATTTACCAACCTTTTGCAAATAAGGTGGAAATGTTTAGATTTATGGGTCCACCACATAATGTTAGCTTCTCAAGAGGAAGTTTATTATTCTTAACCCACAATGTGACAAGTACCAGTTACTGCTTCCTGGCAACAAGTGGTTTTTACATGGTCTGTTGGGCCAGTTATAATAAAAAAATTCATAAAACCAAAATTTGATTTCACATATATATTTTTTTTAATATTTTGATTTCTAAAGCAAACAATGAATACAATTTAAAATGAAAAACTATGAAGTCTAAAAGAAAAACAATGAATGATCCAAAACAAAATACTTATAATCATAATATAATATGACACACTTAGGAGGAGAGGATACAGGTCACCTATTTCAACTAAAATGTTTTGGTAATACTACAACAAAAAATATTAGACACATGTCCCAGTGTTCTTTCCAATAGGTCCTAAGAGCCGAAAAAAACAAAATTTATGTTATTTATTTTTGCGTCTGATTTTGTCCTGATTTTTAGAGTATTATATATCAATCAATTTTTTTTTTTATGAAGAATAAAAAAAAATCTTGACTATTGCATTAAATGAGTTATAATGTATCATAAATTACAAAAATCAAAAAGCGCTTCCAGTAAAATAGGCTAAATAAATTTTTTGTTATGAAAAAGCAAGTTAAATTCGTTTTTGTGTCCTTTGAAACTCTTAAATACGATTTTTTAGAGAAATTATAAATTTCAAAATTTAATACTTGATTTTCTTAGAGGGTTCTACTATTTCTGGTTGATAACTAAAGCATTCATAATTTCCCAGGATTTACTCCAAATTCAATGTTAGTACTACCATTGGAAACCTGAATTACTACTCTTCCAACCCACATCAATAACCTTTAGAATTCATTCTTTTTTAAATTAGAAATTAAGAAAATATATTTATAAAAATATAATATAAAATTTACAGAAGTCGATTTTGTACCATTCCGTGCAGCATATAGAGCTCTAAATCGCTATTAATTTTTGTATTGATCGGTGTAGCCATTCTAAAGTTATCACAAGTTTTGTGGTTGTTGACGAAATTTCGAATGATCCAGCCTAGGCAATACTTTTGTCCAAAAAATTTTAATTTTTTGACTGCTATAAAAATTCGTATTTAAGGGTTTTTTTAGGTGAAAGAAACAAATGTTAATATATTAAGAGATAAAAATATTAATTAGTTAGTTAGTTTCTTTCTTTTTTTTCAAATTAATTATCGTTATACATATTAAAAAAAAAAAAGCTTTCGGGCTGAAGCCCCCTCCCCAAAATTAAATCCTGGATCCGCTAGTGTTTCGATCGGGTATTTGAAAAAAAAAGCTGTAAATAATGAACAAGAAATATCTGTGCTTGCATTAAGTTAATTTATAGGAACGAATTCATCATCCAAATCCTTAAAGTTAGTGTAATTATTACTGCTGTCAATATATATTTTAATAATTTATTTGTGAAGTCAGGCTCATTTGGTTGCAATATAATTTTATCAATATTGGTTATCTTATATTTTATATAACTAATATTATTTAGTTGTTATAAAGAAATATAAAATAAATCTACAATTAACAATTGAATAAAATATCCAAGAAATATCACTCTCATTTAAAGATTGTGAGACTTGCAAAAGACGGAAGTCAGAACAAAACATCCCTCCATGATAGGAGAGTATGTCATACTCATTTTGTTGCAAAAATCAGCTAAGTAACCATTAAAACAAAAAATAGCAATGTTCTGAAACATTTACCGTAAACTATTTTAACAGCAATTAATAAGAATTTATAAAACCAGTATTAAAACTTTACAGGCTAATGAGTATTCCTAGGGGTACAACAGATCCATCTGTTATTAACTGTAGGTTAAGTTTTAGCTTCATACTTCAAAGACACCATACAAACACAAACTCAAATGTAATTTTTTCAGTATATATTACTAGTAAATACTAAGCATTGGGGAATAATAAAACTTTTTTATGTACTAACAGACCAACTATTTCTTTTTTTAAATAATCATCTAAGCACTATTGGAGACACTGCACAGAATTTTCTTTACAGATTTCATTCACAAATACATAATTCAACATAAGTTCAATTCAAGGATCAGTTTACCTTTGAAATAAGTCCTTAGAGTGTTAAATATAACAACAAAAAATGTAGTTGAATATTTCCCTGCATTCACAAGATGAGGAAATGCTTCTTTGGAATCTCTGTAACGTCTAATACATTGAGCAAAACGTATCCATGCTGGAATACAGTTCACAACACCTTTAGTAATCAGTGCTGCAGTACTGTCACAGTTAATGTCACCTAAAAATAAAATTAAAAAATAATTTGTTATATTTACCCTCTTGAGTTATTTTTATTAATGTAAAAAGTATATCAGTCAAAACTTGCCTCCGGTGTTCAACCAGTCACCATCAGTTATGTAAAAACAAATAAGAAAATGTAAGTCTAAAAAGACTGTGACTAAACTGTTGAACTGATCTGCCAGCCAGAAATCAGCAAATCCAACGTGGTACAATGGTGCGGCAAAACACTTCCACTGGAACAATGAATTTTATAATTTATAGGTGGTTTTTGTTATTTTTTATCATAATATCAAAATCAGTAGGGGATCATGAAGGTGTTTAAGTACTGTTTGTGTTCAACACCTCACTTGAACACCTTCAGTGCTGGTAATAAATAATACCCGATGATAATCCACAAGCTTGGGTTGAAATGGCAATAAAAATCTTTAAATATAACTGTGGCCCGATTATCTATCACCCATGATATTTAGAACAGTCAACTAATTTCCTTCAATAATTCATACAATCTCCTGGAAGAGAGAGGATGGTTCACTGCTTACTAAGAAAAAAAAAATTCTCCAAAGATGAGAGGACACTAGCGAAAAGGAATTGTTTTATAACAAAGACGGAATCTCACTGAGTAATTACAGCTGTCAAAGTTAAAAATTGATCAAGCCATCCACTCAAGACCTCTTAGAGTATTGATTAAACACACTTTACACAATAATTTATCAAAATGTTGAGCTCAAATCCTTTCAAAACACCCATAGGATCTCACTGAATAATATAAGATATCAAACTTAAACAATGCTCCAGGCGTTTACTCAAAAAATCGTTATATATCTCATAGCAAATTGATTAAACACATTTCATTTAATAAAAAATCAGTATTTTTAGCTCAAATTATTTCAAAACACTTATAGGATCTAACCAAACAATTTGAGCCATCAAATTTAAAGATTAATTCAGCCATTCGCTTGAAAAATCGTTTGATAACTTTTTGGAAATTGATTAAACATATTTTGTTTAATAACGGGTCAGTATTCTTAGCTCAAATTGTTTTGAAACACACAGGGAATAATTTGAGTCATCAAACTGAAAAGTCAATCTTGCCGTTCACTCAAAAAATCGTTACATAGCTTTTAGTGAACAACCCTTGCGTCGCTTACTTAAGTGGGTAAAAATACTTGATCTTCATACTCATAGTTCATGAGGACTAAATATTCAGCTATTGAAAATTATTCAATTACTTGAAAAGTACTCGATTACAGCTCTTTTCTACTGTTATCATCACTGAGTATTCAGGAATATTATTTATCAATGTGATACTCACAGTAACTCTAAGTGTCCAGAAGCGAGCTTCGTGCCTGAATGTTCTCAAGGGGCTGCATAGCGTTAGGACCATTAGTATCACGAGGGATAAAGGATTTAAGTAAGGTGGTATACTAAGGGATGAACTATATAGGAAAGAAAGGAGGCTCAGAGTCCAAGCAACCCCAAGAACTGCAGCAACTTCCATCAAATCCTGCTCGGAAAGATGGTTTCTTGGATCCAGCTCAAATATAAGTACATGGTTTACTCCTGATGATCTCCACCCATATACATTGACACCAATCAAAAATAGAAATTCTATTATAAGAAGTGGTCCACGATACAGTTTAAATGCTGTTTTCAGGTTCTCATTTTCGATGTCATGGAAAATAGCTATAAAAAAAAAATAAAAAAAAAAAAATATATATATATATATATATATATATATATATATATATATATATATATATATATAATTTAAACTTATATAGGTAATGTAATTAATATATTAAATGGATTAAACTTATAAATATTTTATTATTTATCATATCTAAAAAAGAAATAAAATAATTGAGATGGTTTTCAATGATCTACTTGGTTGAATTTGAAGTACTAAAAAATAAAAAGTAGGTATGCTACATATTTTAAACTCTACTAAAATGCAATTTGAAACTTTATAGCCAATCCTTTGTGCTTCATCTTTAATGCTAACATTTTAGTTGTATTTGTATTACAATTCTGATTCACTGTTACATTGGATACATATTTTTTATTTACTTTTTATTAACTGTCAAAATAGTAGCATTAAACCCACAGCCAGGTTTATTAATTGCTAAATATTTTAAACTTTTGAATATGAAGTGGATCAGTGAGTTAAAGCATTTATGTGTTATTCCATGGTCCATGCAATAAAGAATATTTTTTAGGATTTCATTATTTCTTTAAGAATCAGTTAATTAATGCTATCCCTAAATATAACTCTCAAAAGCATTTGAGAATGTAACATAATAACTTATTTAGGTTAATTAATTTACATTCTTGACCTTTCTTCTTTATATTTTATTGGCTAAAGCCTTGATTGTTAATAAAAATAAAAATTAACTTCATAATGTTTTCATCCCTCTATAACAGGGGTCTCCAAACTTTTTGGCCCGCAGGCCACATTGAGACCTCAACTAAGTTCTGCGGGCCGCATTGAGACCTCCATCCAAGTCTCACAGGCTATGGTTTGTGATGAGACAAAAACTTGTTTGATAAATGATACTTCAGTTCTGAAATGAACAAAAAATGAAGAAAAACTCACGCAATAAATGTTATACTAGCCTCATGTGTGCGTAATTTTGGTAAATTTTGGATTTTTAATAATTTTTAAAATTTAGATTCTTTGGAGCTTGTGGGCTGGTACCGGCCCACAGGCCGAAGTTTGGAGAACCCTGCTCTAGAACTTCATATAAATTTGTTTGGCCATTGATGCTTACACTAATCATTGCAGCTCTTTATTTTTAACAAAAATTACATTAATGGCAAATACATTTTTTTTTTTTTTTTGGAATCAAATAAATAAAACAACGAAAAGACTAAATATTTTGCTTCTATGTTAAAAATTATAAAATCTCATTGATTGCATTTAACTCTTGTTTCCGAAAAATTGGGATATTTTAATTTTGTTGTATTGCCCTCAGGAAGTGTAAGGACCTTGTTGTTTGTATATATGTGTATTGTCATACTTATATATGTAATTTAATTAAATAAACTTTTTGGAGGTTAGAAAAAAAATAAATTTGTTGTATGCCCACTATTCAAAGTATCGTTTGATCTTTAAATGGATATTAAAGAATAGCTTTAAAATATTCAATGATTTTTGATCTTTCAGCTATGGTAGATGTGTACGGAAGGCATGCTATAAGGTATCTCAGATGAGATTGAACATTAAAATTAAAGAGGCTATTGTGAATTTACTCTTTAGCACTTATTGTGTAATAAAACAAATGGAAGATTTTACTGTTACCAGTTAAGTAACTTCACACTCAATACATTTCAGTTAAAAAAGTGCAATTAGGAAGTTGCTCTGGAATGGAGTTGAACAATACTTCTTCAAGAATCCCTTTAGGTTTTTAATGGTGAACCATAGATAGATTTTTAATTTTTATTAATTTAAACATCCCTTCAATTAATTTTTATGTTATTAATATCCAACAACACATAATACTAATGTAATCACAAAAGTCATGTATAATTCAAAAATTCCTCTGAGGTGTCTGAAAAGGAGATGGCCTCGTGATCTCCTTATGTAGACATATTATTAGAGTGCTACCAGTGGGTAGTTTCTCAACAAGCGTTTTTATGTGATTATATTCATGTGTACACTTGAATATAATCACATTTACTTGAAGTATTTATATTGTAATACAGTTTTAAATATCATAAGTAAATAAAATAAAAATAAAATTAATTATTCTTTTCATTTTAAACTCTAAGTATGATAGTAATAAGTTATAAAAAAAAAAAGTTGTAATATTTTGTAAATAAATACATTTTTCTTTCACTTTCAAATCATTAAACAATATAGAAACTCACTAAAGTATAAATGTAGTTTTAGCAAACGGAATTTGAATACCTAAATTAATTTATAATATGTGATTAAAATAATTTATAGTTTATTGAAGTTATTTTAATAGTTTGAAAATGTCAATAAAATAATGAAAGAGCAGAATTATAAAGTTTTATTTTTTTTAATGTCAATATATTTTACCTGAGATGACTACTGTGCAAAAGAGAACAATAAAAGATCCAGAATATAATCCAACTTTAAATGTTGTCCAAGGTGTTTGCTTTTCTCCTAGTGGAGGTACTCTTAATCTTTTCATAGCTTTTTGCCTGTCTCCAAACTCAAGCTCTTGTGTAACTGTACTTTCAACTTCTGATATTAATCGAATTATATCTGTGTTTGTGTAAAAATGAGAACTTTCGACTTGCTGCTCCCGATAATGTCTTCCATCATCCACATGGAACAGCTAAAGTCAAACCAAAGATCTATTCATAGTATTTACATATAATAAATTAAAAAAATTATGTTTCTGAAATTAATACAAATGTATATATTTACCCACTACTTTTTTTATTTTATTTTACTGAATTGTTATTAATATATTTCTTATTTGGCAGGATAAAGTTAATTTTTAATATTTCCAAATTCAGTAACAACAGAAGTATTCTTAAATGTATACACTTTTATTAGTACATTATTATTATTAAAAGTTATACAATGACTTTAACTCTTATAATTAGCATGTTTTCATATGTAATAATATAGACTAAAAATACAGTTTTGGAAACAACTAATATTATGAATATTGAATCAGTAAGGTAAAGTTAATAATCTTATTCTCAATGTCATTCTGATAGCTTCTGTGAGTTATCACGAACTACAATTAGTGGAAAAAAATACAAAGAATTGCATATTTTTAACATATTCTAATTTATTTACTAACCTTATCATGTTTTTTAAGAATTTTTCTGAAGCCAGTGAAGTTAAGGTTTTGATAATTTTGCAGAAGCACTAAACTTAAATAAAATTCACTGAAAGCAAGTTTGAGCTCTTGTACTTTCCTAGCTGTTAGGTTTCTTGGTTTTTGACTAATCCCTGACCGCTTGCCTTTTACTCCTGAGTTTTCCTTTGAGGTAGACAGCTCATTCCTGAGATTAGCAAACTTTCGAGTTGCTTCTGCCAACTTTTCTGAAAATATCAAACTGCTCAGGATTCAAATTCTGTATATAAAATAAATTAAACTGAATTATAAATTATAAACTGAAAAACTTTAACAATTTTTTTATAACAATATATTAAATGGTTTATTTAAAAATACTATGTAGCTTAATCTCTTGAAAACTAAGAATAAAAACCTTTTATTTATAAATCTGGTTAAATTATACCATAAAAACTAAATATGTCAATCTTTTAACAATCAATAAAGGTCAGAGGTCTTGATTCTAGAACATAAAGTATTAAGCAAACTAACCAGTATAATATTTACAGAGTTTGACATCCTTATGTACTATATAAGTAGTACAAACAAGTATTACAACTTAACAGATTAACTATTTATAACCAAACAAAGAAACATTCAAATAACTCTTAAGTGAAATATGAATATATATATAAAATTTTGACCAGAAAAAGAACATGAGCTGAAATACTTCTACATATTGACAACATTCAGTAAATGGATGTGAATAAGGTAGTCAGAAATATCAAAACTTGGTAATTACCATTTAAAACAAAAAACCTTTTAAACTATGAAGGGTCTTGGGTTCAATACTTGGTCAAGAAGTAATCTTTCTAGGCAAACGATTGTGTAAGGAGATGATTTGGCTGGGATCATGCCCAACTAATATATTTTCCCCCCAAATCAGAGTTCCACTTGATAAAGGCTATGTGTGCCTCAGGAAGGGATAGAGGGAGAGGAGGGTCTCCAATCCCAGAATTGATTCTTAGCTGATGTAATAGAATAAATAATTACTTGCCACAGGCAACTTGAATCTGGAACCAGGAGTAGACACACAGTGCCTTACTTAATCTTTTATCATGTATTGGTATTTTTATACTATATGTTTTTATTACACTACAAAGGAAAAGTCAGAGTCAATTGGATACTGACTTTAACTCAATATTTTTAGGGATTTTTTAGACATTAAAATACACCAAACGACACAAATCAGACTCTGCTAGACCAAATCAAATTGCAGTTGTTAGTAAAAGTATTTATTATTACTTAAATATTAAAAAAAAATATCCTTGAAAAACTTCCCTTGATAAATATTTTTTTCCAAACTTAACAAATGTATACTTTATTGTTATCATTAGAAAAATAAAAATTAATCTTTCAAATGGTACCAAAACTTTTGAATTCGATCTAAGAATGCACAAGTAATAATAAGAATTTGAACGTATTCTAGGAAAAATGTTCAAACATATTTATTCTTCACAGCAACTGAGAAAAAATTCCAATTTTTCTATTTGTTAGAGATGTTATTAAGCATCTAATAAGGATATTAGATGCCGAATCTGAATATGAAGTTGTTGCTCCTTTTTATCCTTATTGACCAATAAAAAAAAGTTTTAATGGTTTATTATTTCCAAATAGTTATAAATAAAATAAGTATGACATGTTACATTACATTGCTTACCTCTTCTGGAAAAAATTAAATACCATAAAATTTAATTAAAATTGTATGTATAATCTAAATTTTTCTGTTTTATAATCTAGTTATAAAACAAAATAAACAGACCTTGCATTAGAACAAATTCTAAAAGTTCAAAATACCACATATTTGCAATATTTTTGTTAATAGGATGGACTAAGAATTTTTTCTAAGTAAAAAAACCAAATTTTGGAGGAGAAAATTATAAACGAATAGAAGGACTGGAAGGATTTCAGGGAGGCATAATTTAAACAATTTGATGGGTATTTCATCCAGCGGAGTTGGAATGGAATTCCATTGGGTTTTGTTAATACCAAATGTCTATAGGATAATTTTTAAAAGACTTTGGATTTTAATAATTTAGTTCTCTAGGCAGGTATATTCAATTAATTTTAATTGGTACGATAAATTACTACAAAACATTAATTCTGTTTAAAAATATACTGCTTTGTAATAATTTATTGCAGTTATTTTGACAGTGATTTATAGGTATTTTGGCATGGCAGAAAGTCAAATTACATAATTTCTACATAACAAGAGGAAAATCTTAATTTATTCCGTAATAAACCTTAACTTAAATAATATGAATTTACAGCAAATTAAACAAGGAAACCTTTCTAAGCACCTGGTATTTGTAATCCAGTTGGAGGGAGATAAAAAAAAAAAAATCGCGAATAACCCTTGATTTAATGAATCAAAACTTACAATTAGTGTAGTTAAGGTGCTTAAAAGCCCTTATACAATGATTTTAACAAAGACAAATTGTACTTGTATTTCAAGGAATTTTTTAAAAGTTTATTATGAAGCAAATGTAAAAAACCTGAATTTTTTTTTTTTTAAAGTTATCACTTACTTTTCATCTAAAAACACATATTAAAAAAAAAAACGTATTATATCTAGTCTAAATGTAATTACATCTTAAACAATCCAAAAATTATACTGGCACTACATATTCACAATTAATATAATAATAAATTTAATTTAATAATATTAAATGTATAAATGCAAGCTTTATTTTTAAACAAACTTTATATTCAATTGATGTCAATAAGTATTCACGTTATTTTAACAAGAAATCCTTGAATTCAGTTAGAATATTTAAAATTTTGTTAAGTACTTAAGTTTCCTAACAGACATACTGCTCTGAGGTGTCTGAATCCATGCAGAGTTTGTAATGGGTCAGCCCATGGGCCACTACAACCCTATAACACTTCAGACAGGTGTCTGAATCCCCAAGAGTTTGTAATTACGCGTCCGGGGCAACCGCCGCTTGTCGCCCTACCCACTGGACACAGTGTGGCTGATATAGAACCCAGCAGGAAAAAGTCTAGAAGCCATAGTATTAATGATAAAATATTTTCTTCTCACCCAAACTGATGTCTAAATCAAAGTTCAACTTCAAGGATTTGAAGTTCTTGCATTAAACAAAAGTAACATTGTAATGATAATGATGAATATCTTGGCTCCTTCAACTGCTTTTAAAAGTAATAAATATTAACACCTCTTTCTTTCTCCTTGCCGTACTCGGACTAGAATATAGTAAGTATTTTATTAATATACGAGGTAATATTTTAAAATTTCTTAAGTTCCACCTTGCTAATTTCACATATTAACAAAGAGAATATGAGAATCGCTTTCATTTTGCCAGATAATGTTTTCACAGCAGCAAACCAGAGTTCGTAGAGAAACTTTTCTTTCAAGAAGGTACCAACTATTCTATTTTTTGTTATAGGAGTCGTTAAAATAATTCTTTCCTGGCCACAAAGCCTGAGTTGATTCTTGTTCCAAAAATAAGAGTTGTCCAACAGAAAACAATTATCATCGCTGCTTTTAAACAGGCAAGAACGGGCGATTAAATTTCACATATTTACTAAATTAATATGTTGATAGACATAAAGTATCAAAATTTAAATTGTACATTGGTGTACGTAAAAGGTTACAGACTAAAATGTGAAACAGTTTAGTACTGTTGGACAGTAGAATCTGAGTGAAATAAAGCAAAACTGGAGAAGAAAAAACTGTATCATTAAATACTTTTATAGGACTTCAAGAATCACTTTACACCACTGCATATAGGTAGTTAGTATCTTTCTTTTTTCTCCAAAGTAATTATCGATACATATATGAAAAAAAAAAAGCTTTCAGGATGAAGCCCTCCCTCCCTCCAAAATTAAATCTTGGATCCGCTAGTCTGCCTATTTATACATTAATAATTTATTTTGGGTATTTCAAAGTTCATTATTAATACGTAACTAAGAATTACTGACCTGAGTAGAAAGTATTTATTTTTTTTAGTTCATTATCACAGTATAGGAAGAATTTTTCATCAAAGTTCTTGAAGTGCCTGGTGACTTCTTCTGGTTCTGCTTCTCCAGACTCCGCCGAAGGACCTCCCTCCAAGCCCATGTAAAGCATGGCTTTCATTTCCTGAAAAAATAAAAAAAATAAAACCAGTTCTTTATTTTTGCGCTTAATTAGACAAAATATAAAAGGATAGTAAACTGTATCACTTCCAAATGACTGGTTTTATTTTCATTTTCTATATATGAAATATATAGGATATGGAAATATTGCAATCTTGAAAAATTTCGAATTTTCAACAAAATTACATTTTATGTTCTCCAAATAATCAAGTCATACAAAATGGCCTGTGTATGTGTAAGTGAACTACTGACAAGAAACAAAAAATAAACAAAGGAGAAAAAAAGTGAAATATTGTTCAAGATTAAAAACAAATTTTCCATGAGATTATTACTAGAGGATGAGGAGGAGTAATGTAGATGCATGATATTCGTTGGAAAGTTTTCTAATTCTTTTAGAAAAACTAATATCTAACACATTGAAGTCTTAGAAATTAACGGAGAATGACGAAACACTAATGGTGATTAGTGGTTAAATCATGGAACACTAAATGAAAGCTCATAAAATTTATTTTCAGCTTGACAAACGAAAAATATACAGACCACAGAATTTTAAAACTTCAAACAGCCAGAGAGTGGATGGGCTAAGAGGGTCTTTCGGTAAAAAAGTTTAAAAAGAAAAGAAATCATTTGATCAACATATTTTAATTTTTATTTATTAATTTTGAAGGATACATATATGTAGTTATATCTGAACATATTTAATTGAGTCATATTTTACGAGGAAGTAACAAGGGACAGCCTGGAACGAATTGGATTGTTGGTTGAACGTGCCCGGTCATGTTCTTCTCTTAAGCTCTTTTACATATTCCTTTGCGGTAGTTCCCTACCAACTTTACAATCCCATATTACTCTATAAATGTAAATGGACGAAGACTATTCAAATATGATACAGTAAAACTCTTATTTAAATTGGCGGAGAGTATTAGTTTGTATCCGAAACTTCTTTAATTTAATATGAGAAATTCCATTAGGTCTCTATTAAACTAAATTCATGGAAGAAAATTTCACCATCGATCACTGCATTTGGCATTGTTTTAAGAGAAGAGCTCTAAAAGGGAATGCTTGAGTTACGGATTCCGCCGAAACTAATTTACACGGTGGGCCAGACCTCCCTACCGTGCACCTTCTCCCACATCTCTATAGATTGCATATCGTTGTGTTCCTTGTAACTATTTATTAAAAAAAAAAAATCAATGTTCCAACAAAAATAAGTGAACGCACTACCCCAAAATGGCGTCCAAACATGTTTCACTGACGACTTTGACTTTAGTTAGTTTTTTGGACACCGAGAATCAGCATTTGACTTAATTTCGTCATAGTTGGTCTTTTATCAAAGCTGGATAGTCAGAGAATAATAAAACATGAAAAAATATTTTAACAAATAATTGGCTTAGGCAATAAAAAACACTAGTAAAGTCAATTTTTTTAACAAAAAAAGTTTCAAGTTGAAAATCAAGCGTAGGTTCTTATTTAACTGCAATAATAACGGAAAACGTGCTGAAATAAAACATCTGGAGAATATATTTCTCTTTCTAAAACACTTATTACTTTTTAAAATATTTGAAGCAGTTCCGTTAGAAAATTCATTAAAGCGGCAGAAAAGCAGTACTGGCGTAGTTGCCTACAGGCCTCTCTCTACTACCACACCATTCAATACTCATAAATCACTTAGCTATAGTGCTATAATAACGTTTTCGGTAAATTATATTGATTGTATTAACGAACAAGTGTTAATACAATAATTTAATTGTAATTAATCAAAAAAAACTTGAAGAATTGTTTTTTAAATTTATTATTTTTTTGATTGGGGGATGCAGTCAAATAAATACTAAATTTAAAAAAATAGTATTTTGAATTATTATGCCGACGTTTCGACCACCTTGCAGGTCTCCATCAGGGCTACACAAGATACAAAATATAAAAGGTACATGGTGAAAATAAAATAAATGAATTATAAATTGATATTAAATAAGAAACAGTTGTTTGATAAAGAAATAATAAGATATCAGAGATATAGTGGGTGACAATTGATATCAAATTTTAGATATTAATAAACTGATATTAAATAAGAAACAGTTGTCTGATAAAGAAATAAGATAATATCAGAGATATAGTGGGTGACAATGTAGTTAAATACCTAATGATACATGATATTTTAACTACATTGTCACCCACTGTATCTCTGATGTCATCTTATTATTTCTTTATCAGACAACTGTTTCTTATTTAATATCTATTTATAATTCATTTATTTTATTTTCACCATGTACCTTTTATATTTTGTATCTTTTGCAGCCCTGATGAAGACCTGCAAGGTGGGTCGAAACGTCGGCGTAATAATTAAAAATACTATTTTTAAAAATTTAGTATTTATTGGACCGCACTCCCCGAACAACTCATATTATATCACGGTCAACCATCTCTGCATTATTATTATTTTATTAAAATTTAATTTCCTTTGTATACTTAATAATTCTTAGAGGTAATTTAAATTGTATATACTTTCCTGGAAATGAGTCGTATTAATACCTGTTTTATAAACTAAAATATACGCCTAATCTGAACTACATATAATGAATAGTTCCTGGGTTGTTTAGAAAAAACGCCTGTATCACTAATAAAAAAAATATTTTTATTTCTTTTCTTTTGTTCGTAAGTTGGACTATATCATAAACAAATTGAAAATTTTAATATTGAATACATTAATCTCTCTGCGTTCTCTTTGCACAAAGAAAGGTGGAAAGGGCGAAGCTATAAGCTCTTTTTGGTAACCGGAACTGATTGTTAGCATTTCTTATCAAAATGAGGGAAAACGGGAAATTGAACCCAACAATTGGAAAAATACATTAAGCGAACGAGGAAGGAAGTGCCAAGATCTCGGAAAAAACAAGGATCAGTATCCATTATATGGTTAAACGAATATATAGTATACAGTGTTTTAGAAAGAGAAATATATTCTCCAGATGTTTTATTTCGATACGTTTTCCGTTATTGTTGGCCGTTTAATCACAACCTACGCTTAATTTTCGGCTTGAAATTTTGATTCATATTTAATAGTTGACCGATGCATCATAAAGGAAGGAGATGGTCCGGGGTGGCGGTCATAAATAGGCTGTATAGTGGGAAAACTATTTTATTAAAAGCCAACTTTCGACCCGGTTTTGCAGATCTTCTTCAGGGAGGTATGTTCAGCTAGGAGTTTCACTTAGAACTGTAAATAACAAAATCAACAAAAGTAACAAAATCCTAAACTGAAGTAAATAGATGCTAACAATTACTGTTTATAATTTTAATAAGCTTATTCACATTGTTTATAAATTTTATCTCAATATTATGTAACTGCCACAATTCTCTATCTTTTTGTATCTTGTCTGTTCTAGCCCTTCTTTTTTTTTTTTTTTTTATACCGCAATAAATTAACGGTATAAAATCTGGGATTAGATTGGATATAAATATGAATAGGATAAATTAAAGCATGCTTTCGGCCTTCAAGGTTGATAACTTTGAGATTCGTCAAATTCGGTACTGTTTATTTAAATAAAATCGCAATTGTTTTTATATCAACATAACTGTTTGACGTAAAAAATATAATAAAAATAACTTTGACGTAAATATTTACTTAGCCAAAGGAAATGTTTGCTCTGATAGGAAATTTCTCCATTTCTTTTCTCTTTATTATCGCAATGATGCAAAAAACAACAACAGTATATGTATATAAAAAATAGAAAACATTATAAAGAAATTCAGTAGTTAAGTCAGCAGTATTTACTTAAAAAATTCCGCATCTACTTGAGAATGAACAGTTAACTAAAAAAAAATGTATTATAAGTTATTTTTGAAGCTAGATACGTTTTATATATCCAGGTAATGTGAAGATACCTTATTATAGTTATAAGTATAGAATTATTTACATATGATATAACTATGAATATAAATGTTCTTATAATAATACGACATTCATATAATATAATATTACAATTTGCACAAAGAAACTTGTCGTATTTGTCGTTTTATTTATACCAGTATGACGATCACGAAAATAAACAGAAAGGAAATATAGAAACAAATATTCACTTATCAGTTAGTATAAGTAAATGTTTATATAAAATTTATTTCAAGGATACTAGTTGACCACTGCCAAGGGCGGATCTACGGGGGAGGGGGGCTTTCGGGCTGAAGCTCCCCCCCCCCCCAAAATGGTAAAATATAGCCACGTTTTATCGAAAAAAATATTTCAAAAGTATCTCTTAAAGTATTATTGTTCATGTAATTACATTTAAAAGGGCTTTAGGAATCACTTAAACACCATTTTATATAAGTAGTTAGCTTTTTTCTTTTTTCCCAAAGTAATTATCGTTATTTTTATGAAAAAAAAACTTTCGGGCTGAAGTCCCCCCCCAAAATAAATCCTGGATCCGCTAGTGACCACTGCGAATAATTCGCATAATACAATAAATTGTTCAACGAAAAAATGACAATATAACATACAAATGAATATACTCGTTGTATGATGAGAGGAAGAAAATAATTTTCATTCAAAGTAATGGACTAAAACACGAGTACAAATTACAGTTACTTATATATTTGCTAAAAATGATCCGATTTCGATGGTTTTCTTTGTTTTTTTTTACGTTTTAAGGGATATTTGAAAACCTTTCTAACTATCAGGGTAAAACAAAATTGTCAGAAGTTTCAGTCACTATAATATTTATTGGGTTAGCCGACGTTCTGACACAAATATGAGGGCTATCGTTCTGATGTTGAGTCAAGAACTCTCTGGAATTCGGAACGCCGACTAACCCAATAAATATTATATCGTAACTGACATTCAGATAATTTTGTTTCATCCTCACGATTGATAAGTCGACTATTAATCCACTTATATTCTTGTCCCGACATCCGAACGATAGATGATGAACCACATGTTTGGATCGAAACGTCTTCTCAGACGGCGCCACGTCCCGCGTGGAGACAAGGCCTCTTGCGATTTTGACCACCAGTCAT